AGAGAGGGAGAGAATTTTTTAATATTTATTTTTTAGTTTTCAGTGGACACAACATCTTTATTTTATTTTTTTGTGGTGCTGAGGATCGAACCCAGCGCCTTGCACATGCCAGGAGAGTGCGCTACTGCTTGAGCCACATCCCTAGCCCAACTATAGGAGTCTTATTGAGGAAGTTGGGGCCTAATCCCACATGATGAATATTAGGGCCTACTTTTTCTTCTAATAGACACAGAGTCTCTGGTTTAACTCCAAGGTCCTTGATCCATTTTGAGTTAAGTTTTGTGCATGGTGAGAGATAGGGGTTTAATTTTATTTTGTTGCATATGGATTTCCAGTTTCCCAGCACCATTTGTTGAAGATGCTATCTTATCTCTAGTGCATGTTTTTGGCACCTTTGTCTAATATAAGATAATTGTAATTTTGTGAGTTATTCTCTGTGTCCTATATTCTGTACCATTGGTCTACCAGTCTGTTTTGGTGCCAATACCATGCTATTTTTGTTACTATTGCTCTGTAGTATAGTTTAAGGTCTGGTATAGCGATGCCACCTTCTTCACTCTTCCTGCTAAGGATTGCTTTAGCTATTTTGGGTTTATTATTTTTCCACATGAATTTCATGATTGCTTTTTCTACTTCTATGAGGAATGCCATTGGGATTTTGATCAGAATTGTATTAAATCTGTATAGTGCTTTTGGTATCATTTTGATAATATTAATTCTGCCTATCCAAGAGCAAGGTAGATCTTTCCATATTCTAAGGTCTTCTTTGATTTCTCTCTTTAGGGTTCTGTAATTTTCATTGTATAGATCTTTCACCTCTTTCATTAAGTTGATTACCAAGTATCTTTTTTTTTTAAGGTCATTGTGAATGGGGTAGTTTTCGTCTTTTCCTTCTCAGAGGATTTGTCACTGATATACAGAAATGCCTTTGATTTATGGGTGTTGATTTTATATCCTGCTACTTTGATGAATTCATTTACTAGTTCTAAAAGTTTTCTGGTGGAGATTTTTGGTTCTTCTAGATATAGAATCATATCGTCAGCAAATAGTGCTAATTTAAATTCTTCTTTCCGTATACATATCCCTTTAATGTCTTTCATTTGTCTAATTGCTCTGGCCAGTGTTTCAGGATTATGTTGAATAGAAGTGGTGAAAGAGGGCATCCCTGTCTGTTCCAGTTTTTAGAGGGAATGCCTTCAACTTTTCTCCATTTAGAATGATGTTGGCCTGAGGCTTAGCATAGATAGCCTTTAGGATGTTAAGATATGTTCCTGTTATCCCTAGTTTTTCTAGTGTTTTGAACACAAAGGGTGCTGTATTTTGTCAAATGCTTTTTATGCATCTTTTGAGATGATTATATGATTCTTACCTTTGAGTCTATTGATGTGATGAATTTCATTTATTGATTTCTGTATGTTGAACCAAACTTGCATCCCTGGAATGAATCCCACCTAATCATGGTGCACAATCTTTTTGATATGTTTTACTATTCGATTTGCCAGAATTTTATTTTATGTTAATTTTTGCACCTATGTTCATTAGAGATATTGGCCTGAAGTTTTCTTTCTTAGATGTGTCTTTGCTTGGTTTTGCAATCAGGGTGATATTGGCCTCATAGAATGAGTTTGGAATTACTGCCTCTTTTTCTATTTCCTGAAATAAATTAAAGAGTATTGGTATTAGTTCTTCTTTAAAGATCTTGTAGAACTCAGCTGTGTATTCATCTGGTCCTGAGCTTTTCTTGGTTGGTAATCTTCTGATGGCTTCTTGTGTTGTGGTCAATTTGACTCTTGAGAAGAGTTTTTTTGTTTTGTTTGTTTGTTTTTATGAACATAGCTACACCATTGTTTGGGGCATATATATTTATGATTGTTATGTCTTGTTGGTGTGTGGTTCCCTTGAGCAGTATGTAATGTCCATCTTTATCCCTTTTGATTAATTTTGGCTTGAAGTCTACTCTATTTGATATGAGTATGGAAACTCCTGCTTGCTTCCACAGTCCATGTGAGTGGTATGATTTTTCCCAACCTTTCACCTTCACTCTGTGTATGTCTTTTACTATCAGATGAGTCTCCTGGAGGCAGTATATTGTTGGGTCTTTTTTTTTTTTTAATCCAATCTGCTACCCTATGTCTTTTGATTGGCAAGTTTAAGCCTTTAACATTTAGGGTTATTATTGAGACATGGTTTGTATTTCCAGCCATATTTGTTTATTTTTGTTATTTAACTTGACTTGGTTTTCCTCTTTGATTAGTTTTTCATTTAGTGTACTACCTCCCTCTGCTGATTTTCATTGTTGTTTTTCATTTCCTCTTCATGGAATATTTTGCCAAGGATGTTTTGTAATACCAGTTTTCTATTTATAAATTCTTTTAACTTTTGTTTATCGTGGAAGGTTTTTATTTCATCTTCAAGTCTAAAGCTTACTTTTGCTGAATACAAGATTCTTGGTTGGCACCATTATCTTGATTCTTTAAACTACTACAATTATAAAAAAAAAGAAAACTCATCAACATAGAATTCTTTACCTAGCAAAGATACCCTTCAAAAATGAGGTGAGGTAAAATATTTTAGACACATAGGTTGAGAAAGTTCATGGCTGCTAAAACTTCACTATAATATTAAAAAGATGTTTCCCAGGCAAAAGGAAAATAACAGATATATAGAAAATAATGAAGAGTATCAAAAATTGTAAATATGTGGATACATATAAATGACTTTTTCTTCCTGTAGTTTCCTTAAAAAGACAGATGATCACCTAAAACAAAAATAATAGCATTGTTAGATGGTTTGTTAATGTAGATAGAAGTAAAAGAAAGAATAGATGCAACAGTAAAAGGATGGGGTAGGGAGAAACAAATTGAATTATACTGTTGTTAGTTTCATATTTGTGAAGTAGCACGTCATATGGTAAAATGTGAAGTAGGAAGGATGAAATAGGAAGTAATATGAAGGTCAGATATGAAGTGTGAAGTGATATAATATTAACTCTAACTTTGGTAAGTTAAAGGAGGCATATTGTTAGCCCTAGAAAAATTACTGAATAATAATAAAAATAAGGAGTATAGCTAAAGAGCCAATAAATACGAGATAATAAACATTTAAGTTATGCAAAATAAAGCAATAAAGCTACAGATGAATTAAAAATAGAACAAATAGAAAACAAATAATATGATGAACTTTAAACCAGACATATCAACAATTACATGAAATATAAATGGACTAAATAAATATAAAAGGCCAATGCTGTCAGACAAGATAACACAGGAAGACCTGATATGTGCTGTCTAAGAAATGCACTTTAAAGATAAAAACACAGGGCTGGGGATGTAGCTCAGAGGTAGAGTGCTTGTCTAGCAAGTGTGCAGCCCTGGTTGATCCCCAGCATAATAAACAGATTGAAAGTTAAAAAAAAAAAAGGCAGTGCTTAGAGATAAGGTTATGGCTTTAAATACCTATTACGATACAAATAGAATGCATTATATAGAGTACATAATAACAAAGCATTTTAAGACAGAGTACTATTAGAGATATCAGGACATCTCATAGTTAAAAGACTTATCAGAAAGACATAAAGGTTTTATATATATATATGAAGTGGGAAAGTTAATAATACTCTAAATAGAACAATACATTAAACCCACCAATTACAAAATGCACTTTTTTCCAAGTACATAAGGAATATTCACAAAGATAGATCACATGCTGGGTTATAAAATGAATCTCAAAAAATTTCAAAGGATTAAAATTTTATGGAGTATTTTCTCAGATCACAACAATAAAAATCAAGTAACAATGAGATACCTAGAAAATTCCCAAATTCTTTGAAATTAAACAGCAGACTTCTAAATAATTTGTGCATCAAAAAAGAAATGATGAGAGAAATTAGAAAATATTTTGAATTCAATAGTAATTAAAATAATGCATATCAAAATGTATGGGATGCATCTAAAGCAGTGCTTAGAGATAAGGTTATGGCTTTAAATGCCTATATAAGTGGGAAAGAAATTGGAATCAGTTATCTAAGTTTTCAACTCCAGAATCTGGAAAAAGAAAAAAAAAAGTTAAACTCAAAACAATTAGGAGGAAGTAAATAACAAACATTAGAACAGAAAGCAATTAAATAGAAAAACAAACTAAATGGCATAAAACAAATTTTTATTTTTTTCTTCCATATTTTTGGTGTATTATAATTACACATGGTAGTGGGATCTGTTGTTACATATTCATACATGGTATGATAAAACAATATAACCTGGTTAATATCATTCCCTAGTATTTCCCCTTCTCCTTCCCCCTGTTCCATTTCCTCTACTTTACAGGTCTCCCTTCAGTTTTTATGAGATTCCCCTTCACGCTTTTCCCTCCTTTTTCCCTCTCTAGCTTCCACATATGTTTATTCATTCATCCACTTATGGACACCTAGGCTAGTTCCACAATTTAGCTATAGTGAATGGTGCTACTATGACTATAGGTATGCATGTATTGCTATAGTACGCTGACTTTAATTCTTTAGGATCAATACCGAGGAGTGGTGTAGCTGGGTCATATGGTGGTTCTATACCTAGTCTTTGAGGAGTCTCCGTACTGATTTCCATTTATAATCCTACCAACAGTGTAAAAGAAGTATACATGTGATTTAACTACACTCTGACTGAAATCATTGCACTGCCTCCCTAATTGTGATCTGATCCATTTCTCAACCATCTCCGCTTCCAAATCTTATTACAGTATTCATTTTCCTTCAGTTAATGAATAATTGGTCATGGAGGTAGGATCTGGGGAAAAAAAGAGAGGAAATTGCTCAATTTTAGGAAATTGTGGGGCAGAGAGAAAATGACTTGCTGAAATATTGCCATGGCCCAACACATCAGATACACAAAATTCCTTTAGAACTGGGTATCCTAGAAGCAAATCCAGGAAGTAAGAATAAGAGGAACAGGAGGACATTTTCATGTGGACTTCCAGATGTGCTCACTGTTGTTCTTCATATTCCACAGACCCAGAAAAGAGCTGCCAGCCAGTACTGGAGACTCTGCGTCAGGCCATGGATGGCACTGTGTATGCCCACAGCACCTTGGAATTGCAGACACTGCAGCCTATAGTCAACTTCCTTGTCACTGCCACAGTGCCAGGATGCTGTGAGCGCCCACTCTGCCCACGCCTCTTTCGTCTCTTCACAGTTCTGGCCCTAGAGAGCATGACCCAGGCTACCATGCTGAGCAGACATGTGCCTAGCCTCCAAGCCTGGCTCGAGCGCTTCCCCTTTGTGGAGAGAGAGAGTGTTCTGGCAAGAGCCCTGGTCCGGGCCTCAGTAGAGGCCTGGGAGGCTATGTGTAACTCCTTCATGCCTTCACCCCTCCACCCACACTACCACTTCTCTCTGCATTCTGTGAGCCAACTTTTGGGAAGCCTGCAGCTATTGCCTACCAGAATAGGCTCACGGGGTTTCGTAGATTTTCCCAACCACCAGGAGCACTTGCGCCTTGTATCAGGCTTGCGTGGCACTCGCCTAACTACTATGATGGCTATGCGGAGCATGGTGCGTCTTTGGTTACATGAGGCACAGAGAACTTTTTGTGACCGGTTGAACAGCCCTAAGGAACGCTCTTTCTGTGCCAAGCTGCTCCTAGAAGTAGCTCAGAATGTTTTCTGTGGTGGGCCAGGGCCCCAGTACTTGGACAAGGACCATGAGGAGGAGGAGGAGGAGAGGGTACCTGAAGTGGAATCTGAAGGGGAGTTGGCCCAGTGGGAGGACTTAAGCAATAGTAATAGTGAAACAGATGAGGAAGAGGATCCCTATGGCCTTCAAGCCACAGCAGGCTTACATTCCAGGGAACCAAGTCTAGCACCATCCATAAGGCCAGTACAAAGGGAGATTATAGAAAGCACAAGTCACAAGATACAGCAGGAGGAAAGCAAAAGGGCTTCTCACAATGAGTTCCAGTCAAAGAAATCCAAGAGTTTGTTGCAGAAATCACCCCAGATAGACCTGATTTCACCCCTGTTGTTACCGGTATTACTACTGTGTCCCCAGGAAAAGCCCTCAGATCTGGTCTTCAGTCAGGAGTTGATACTGGGATCCAACTCTGAGAGCCCCAACTTATACCTGGAACGGCAGTGGGAGAGCCTGGAAAAACAGTTGTCCACCTCAGCTGCTCAGCTGGGGCTGAGCCCCCACCTTGCCTGGTGCCACTCCATGGCCCAGCATGTGGCCCGCCTGGTCCGAGTTCTGGCCAAGCCCAGGCAGCATGGCCTATTGCTCTCAGGAACTCTGGGTACTGGGCGCTGTACTGCCATCACTCTGGCCTCTAGCATTTGTCAGGCCCGCCTCTTCCATCTGCCATCTAGTTCAGAGGAGGACATTCTCCAGTGTTTGAGAGATGCCAGCTGGCATGCTGGCATTTTAAACCAGCCAGTGGTCTTACTGGTACCCAAGAGTGTGGATCTCGCTACCCTCCATCACCTAGTAGCCCTGGCAACCTCAGGCAGTTTCCCTGACCAGTACACAGAGGCAGATCTGGACAACATTGAAGAACATGTACCAATGGAGAACCTTGATATCAAAAACAACACTAAGAAGGAAGTGGCATTGCAGTGGTAAGTCCTAAAGCCCCATACGTGGGTCTTCTCTGCTCTTACTCTGTCCTGCCCAAAAGGCTATAAGGAAATTTATGTGCTATTGTGAAGGCTCTTAAGATGAGGGCTAAGTGGTCAGGATTGGAACTGGGACCCGGTAGGGCAAACGGGATAAAAAGAAGACAGCCGCTGACTGACTCCTGGCCCACAGGTTCTACCAGCAAGTGTGTAGCCACCTGCACATGTTTTTCCTGATGGGAGATTACCAGGCCCACAAGCAGCTGCCCTCCACCCTTTACCTGAGGCTCGTTCAACTAGCCACTGCCAGCATTGACTACTATGAACCCTGGGACCAAGCTTCCTTAGTCAGGGTAGCCCAGCACCATCTGGAGGGTGCTCAGAGTCTACCCCTTGATGATGGTGAGCCTTTTTCTTGACCTTACCAGTCATTTCAACTAGGTTCTAATTAGGATTATTACCTAGGCCAGTGTCTGTCTGTCTCTGTTTATCTCTGATTCTCCTGTGTGTGTGTGTGTGTGTGTGTGTGTGTGTGTGTATGTGTTTACTGAGCTCCCTTCACATTTTCTGACCTCCTTCCTGAGCTAGAATAGAGACCCTTACCTTTCCCACTTTCCTATGGGCTTACAAGTCCAGGCTAAAGCCATACCCATTGCAGACTGCTTGAAGTACCCAGATCTCCAGGCCTCTATTTCCAGTGTGGCCAAAGCCATGGCCCTCATCCACCTTTCGGCTGCCTACTACCATGAGCACCTGTGCCCTGCATTGCCACTTGTGACCCCCAAGACTTTCCTAGACCTTCTGGACACCTTCATGCTGCTGCGGCGACAGATGACCCTTAAGTTAAAGAATAGGGCCCAGCGGTAAGTGGCCCCATTCCCTGAAGTTTACCTCCTTATGCTCCCTTAAGTCCACTCACTGTGTGGTGCATTGTACCTTCAGAATCTATAATGCCCTAGAGAATCTGAAAAAGCTGATTGAGCAGCACAGTACCCCCAACAACCTGGTCTACATTTTGGAACAGCAGCTAAAAGGCTCTCAGCAGGTAAGAGGGAGAAGACTGTCAGATTCATAAGGTTGTGTTAATGCAGGAGTACAAAAGAAAAGTTAGAAGGAACCAATGAGAGTGAAGCTTAGTTCTGATTTCCCTAAAGTCCCTCATAATTTCTCCAGGTGATCTCTCTAATCCTGACTATCTCCTCCTTAAGAACTCTGGCTCAAAAATTTTATGACACAGTTGAGACTAGATTGATTCTTCATAACACATGAAACTCAAGTGTCTGCTTCTGGTAGCTCCTCGTGTCTTGACTATGTGAAGTTCAGTGTGATCCCAAGATCTCCATATACACTCATGAGGGATTCAGCAGGGATAGCAATATCATGGCCACCTCCCACTCTTATCATTTTCCCTTGAATTCACTAGCATTGCTAGTCAGCTCATCTCTTGTAGCCATCTTTTTTCCTTATACCACTTTGTCCTATACCTCTTTCTTCCAAAAAGCACCATAAGGCGGTTGTGTATAGTAAGGAGATGTGAATGGATGAGGGTAGTAGGGGAAAATTTACAGCATATCAAAGAAATAAGCATGTTTAAATATTATACTGTACATCAATATCCTAAATATCCTTACTCACCCTCTACTGGGCGTTTTTAGGTGACCAACTTTTCTATATCACGTCCATCTCCCAACACCTGTACCACATGTTATTCAATTAATTTTTCTTTCAAAGTTCCCTGAATACATTTTTTCATGGAATAGAGATTTTTTTTCTAGTCCAAACCCCAAATCCTTTCATTTGTTATATAGAACAATCATCTTCTTCCAGCAAATCTGAATAAAACTGGTGGGGTGTGGGTCTTCATACCTTATATGGGCAAATATTCACAGTTAAAGGTATTTTCCCAAACAAAAGAAGTCTTGGTTTATTTTTAATAAGAGGTATTTTGAAATAACACTTTTCTTCCTATGGCATAAGACCTTGGAAACGGTTCAGAGACCACTACAGAGAAGTGAAATAGTGCCCAACTCACAACTGGGTAATCTGATTGGCTTTTTAGTAGGCTTTCAGGCCTTAAAAATCCTAATGCATGGCTCCATATGGCTCTTCCATATGGGTGCCCTCCAAATATCACTTGGGGTTGCACAGCTCGAGAGGCCTGGCTTATGTTGTGTCTACCTACATAGTTTCCATAATGCTCTATGAAACTGTGCCACCTGGAATTCTCAAGGTACTGGAATCCTCTTACTATCCATTAGCTAGGATGCCTAGCTTAGATTACACATAAAGATTCAGCCAAGTTGTAAAAGAAAGAAAAGAAAGGAAGGGACAAGAGACTACTTCCCCATATTTCCCAAATTCCAGTTTCTTTCTTGTCCTGGGTTCTACTTTTTCCCAAGATGATTCATACTAGGAATTATTGTTTTGGCTTAAGAGTACTGGCATTCCTTGATTATCTACATCAGACCACAACACAAGAAGCCCCATATCTAGATAAAAGATATTCATAGTCTCAGGGATCATTCAGAATCAGATGCCTTGGTGTTTTAGTCAGGATTTTTTTTTTTTTTTGGTTCTGTAACTAAAAGATCTGACTATAACAATTGTAGAGGAAGAAAAGTTTAAAATGGGGGCTCACGGTTTCAGAGGTCTTAGTCCACAGAAGACCAGCTCCATTCCTCAGGGCTTTAGGTGAGGCAGAACATCATAGTAGAAGAATATGGCAGAGAGAAGCAGCTCACATGTTGATCAGGAAGCAGAGAGAGAGGTCTCCACTTGCTAGATACAAATATATACCCCAAAGCCATGCCCCTACTTTTTCCAGCCACACCCCTCCTGCTTCCAGTACCACTCAGTTAATCCCATCAGGGATCAATTCACAAATCAGGTTAAGGCTCTCATAACCCCATCATTTCTCCTCCAAACCTTGCATTGTTCCATATATGAGCCTTTTGGGGACACCTCACATCCACACCATAACACTTGGTGATTCACTCAACAGCCACAATAGTGTGTAATTTTTCTAATGTTCCACACCCTAGGAAATACCCCCACTAGGCACCTAATCATTTAATCCAAATCCCAGGAGTCATTCTGTGATCTTCCATTTCTTTCTCATCTCATATTCAATTGGCTCATTTGTTCATTACTGTACTCAACAAAATTAATCAAAACCTATAATCATTTTGTCCAGGCACTTACTAATATTTACGTATATTTATGTCTACATTTAGACTGATACACAGGTAGACAGACAGATGATAGTTTCCTTTCCACAAGGAATCCAAGATGGCTATCATTTTTCCACTTTCTGATGAGAAAACAGAGATCCAAAGAGGCTAGAGAAGCTTCCTTAAACTTATAATATCATGATGAGGATTAAATGAGATTTTGCATGTAAAGCCTTTAGAAAGGCTGTCATATAGTCATGACTTAATATGTTTGTTATTATTAATATTAGGTCAGATTGCCTCCTAATAAGAGGAGATAAGACACTGCCTTTGACTTCATGGTGTCTACAGTTTTCCAGAGATATAGATTCATCAAGGAAATATCCAAACAGTATGCTATGACAAAGTCCAGAGGGGGCTGACGTAGTAAGAATTCTAGAGAAAACAGTGTGGTGATATATACCTGTAATCCCAGCAACTCAAGAGACTGAGGCAGGAGGATCATAAGTTCAAGACTAGCCTCAGGAACTTAGCAAGGCCCTAAGCAACTTAGCAAGACCCTATTAAAAAAAAAAAAAACTCTTTTAAAAAAGGGCTAGGGATGTGGCTTAGGTTCAATCTCTAGTACAAAAAAAAAAAAAAAAGAAAAATTAAGAAAGAAAGTACAGTGCCCCCAGAATGGTACTGATGTTGAAGCTTAAAGGCTAGATAAGATTTGGCCAGATGTAGAGAGAGGTGGGAAGGAAAAATGTTCCCAGGCTAAAGTAACAGCTTGTGTAAAACCCTAGAGGCAAGAGAACACATGTCAATTTTGGAGGACCTGAAAATTGGAGTGGCTGGAGAGTAGTATGTTGGGAGAGTTAAAAAGATGAGATTGGAAAAATGAGTAGGTCAAGGTGGTCAAGGTGGCATTGTCAATCAAACAAAGGGAGAGGACACCCCTCATAGGAAGGGACATTTCAGAGGGAGGGGGACGTGTGTTAAAGAACATTATGATGATGAGATTCAGTTTTTAGAAAACCAGTCAGGCTGCAGTGTGGGGAATGAATTAGGGGAGAGAAATAAAAGACCATTCAGGAATCTTGTGCAGGTCAGGAGAGAGATCCTGAATGTGAGTGATGGATGTTTGGGATGGAAGTGGACATGAGAGAAATGTTGGAGGTGTAATTGTAAAAGACCTCAAAGAGCCTGGGTTTAGGAGAATAGAGGTAACAATCAGAATTCTTCCTTGAGAAATCTGAGCATATTTTGCCACAGTTCTCTGAGAACAAGAATGCAAGGAGAGGTAAGATTGCAGAAGAGCAGAGGCATAACCAATACATTCATTTTGGGGGCATGAGGAATCTGAGGGGCCTGTAAAACATCCAAGGAGAGGTTTCCACTATGCAGATGGGTACACAGTGTAGGACTTGGCAGTAATATAGCTAAAGAGGAATTTGACAGTATTTAGAATATAATAGAAGCCATGAAATTAGGGATTTAGGAAGAATTTGTCTAAAAGAGAAATTTATCTTCTGTGACAACTGCTGCTAAGGGGTCAAATAAGATAAATAGCATAGCATAATAGTTACATGATCAGACTTTAGAATCAGATTTTCTTAGCCTGTATGGTAAACAAGTTGCAAGGAAAGCAACCACCTACAGGGGGCTGCATTACCAGATGCCAAGCAGTAAGTGACAGACCAAGATCTCAGACTCATTCTGTGCCTACTCAGAGTTCAGTTTTGTTATCCTACCATGCCCATGGGGTCTCCCCCTGGCATGTTCCCACACAGCCCAGAATCTGGAGCTACAGGGCCTGATCTCTGTTCACAGAGCCTCATCAAATTTCGGCAGCAGCTAGAGCAAAGCAAGCTCCTGTACAAGCGGCAGATAGCAGAGTGTCGTCATCAGGAGCACCTAATTGAGAACCTAGCCAAGCAGCGAGATTCCCTGCAGTCTCAGTATCAGGCTTTCCTGGAGAAGGTATGTTTTTCCTGCCATGTGCCCTCTACTTGTCTTTGCTTGGGAGAGGATAGCCCCTAACAGGATGCTCAGTGGAAGGGTTGGGGAGACTCATGATGGAGTCTCCAGGGGGAGGGGGCAAAGGTTATCTTGGGGAGTGCCTTTCATGAGAACTCCTAGGAGAAAATTAAAAAATATCTTGAAAGGGAAGCTCATCTCTCAAAAGCTCGCTTCAGCAAGCACCTCTCCTCATGTAGATGGGCAAGGCATTTCTGGGTCCTCTGAGTCAGCTGCAGGTGGCTGACTTTGAGGAGATAAGGAGCTATCGAGCACCACCAGAATCTGTAATCCGGGTGACTGATGCATTGTGTGAACTGTTCCACCATGAAACAGGCTGGACCAATGCCAAGCAACTTTTATGCACTGAAGATTTTTATCAGGTAGGGATAATGAAGGAGCAGACGGGAGGCACACAGGATAGACTTGGCAGGGATAGACTTTTGGGTCAAGGTCCAGAGCATCCATGTCTTCCCCTCTCCCCTGAACACACTTCCTCCCAGGAGCTGGTATTCTTCCCCAAGGAGAAGATGAAAGACTCGGAGCTGATAAAATTAGAACAAACTCTGAAGGATCCAGGCATGAGTGATGCAGCTCTGAGGGCAGTAAGCATACCCACAGCAAACCTGGCCATCTGGCTCCGGGCTATTCTGCGTTATGGACTGGCACAGCGCCGGGGTGTGCCCACGGGCCTGCTGCTGAGGCAGGTGGAGGCAACACTGGCTCGGGAGCAGGCCCGCTTAGGCCAATTCCAGTTTCAAGCCCAGGACATGCTGGAGAATATTTTGGCCCTGACTAAGAAGCTAGAGGATGCCCAGATTTCCCACAGCCATGTGGTACAGACTCTCAATCAGGCACAATGTGGCCAGTATCACAAATGGCCCATAAAGTCTACACTGCTCACACCCATGAACAAATGGTGTGCACAGCTCCAGGTAACCAACCCTCTCCCATATGTCTTCTTCCTTGTTCATATCACACCCTGCCACCCTATGCCCTAACTGCTTCCTGCCCCACCTTCCTTGCTTTCCTCCGTACCTCTCCTCGCTGGTCTAAACACCCTCTGGTCTTCCCTTCACACCAGAAGTTGAGGGGACACTGCAAGACTATGTTTGGAGATGCCCTCCTGTGTTCTGCTGCCATCACCTATTTAGGTCCCTTCCCACCTCTCCGTCGCCAAGAGCTACTGGACAAGTGGCTGGCTCTGTGTAGGGGCTATCAGGAGACCCTGGGTCCAGACGATGTGGCACAGGCACTGAAGCAGAAGCAGAAATCTGTCATCATGCCTCAAAAAAAACCCCTGTTGCCCACATGCTCTCCCTTCAGTATTCTGTCACTGCTAAGCTGTGAATCTGAACAGTATCAGTGGGACCGAGACCTGAAGCCCCAGGCAAAGTCGGCCCGCTTGGCAGGCCTGCTTCTGGGGAGCTCCACTCACTACTATAGTTGCCGTTGGCCTCTGCTGCTTGACCCCAGCAATGAGGCACTCATCTGGTTGAACCCACTGCCTCTGGAAGATAAAAGATGCTTGGCACAAGCCCCCACTAAGCGCAGAGGTAAGGCAGAGACAATAATACATGCTTCTGGGATATCTGAACTGCCCAGTTCTCTGAGCCTTATGTGATCTTCCCTGGCTAGAATATCCCAGATTTTATCAGCCTATGCTATATATATTTTTTGGTTCATATTGCGATGAAGACCAATTCATGGTCTTCCACTTCTCAGGTTTCTTTGGCACTATTAGAAACCTTGCCCTCACCCCAGAGTTTTAGTACTCAGATTTGTTCAAAAATTCTAGAAGAACATTTTTATTGATTCTGTTTAGATCAGGAATCACATCTGGGTGGCGTGTTGGAAGGGAAATTTGCTAGAAGGAAGAGGGGATGTTTTATCTCCCAGAAAATGGGGTTGGTGTGCTGCATTAGTGAGGAAAAAAATGTGAACTCTTGGAAAAAGGTTCTTTGAAGATGTCATGAGGGCTGGGTCTGTGGCTCAGCGGTAGAGCACTTGCCTAGCATGTGTGAGGCCCTGGGTTCGATCCTCAGCACCACATAAAAATAAATAATACAATAAAGGTACTGTGTTCAACTACAACTAAAAAATAAAATGAAAAAAAGATGTCATCAACTTCTGAACCTTGAAATAATATCACCCTGCTCTTTATATGAGTGGGCTCTAAATCCCATGACAAGCATCTTATAAAATACAGAAGAAAAGACATACACAAAAGAGAAGTCCATGTGAAAAGGGAGACCAAGATTGGAGTTTTTTGACCACTAGCTAAGGAAAGTCTGGAACCACCAGAGGATGGAAAGAGGCAAAGAAGTCTCCTCTTTAGAACCTTGACAGAAGTATATCCTGCTGAAACCTTGATTGCAGACTTCTGGTTTTCACAACTATGAGAAAACTAGTTTCTGTTGTTTAAGCTACCAAGTTTGTGGTAATTTGTTACCGTAGTCCCGGAAACTAATACACAGTATATCATGCAAGGTATCATCTGTCCTTCCAAGTATCATGTCAGAGTTGCTGCTGATTTTCAGAAATATGAAGAGCCAAATGTGATAGGCAGAATTTTGGCCTCTGTGACCTTTGCCTTTTGATGTTATTTCCAGGATTATGTTATGTTACATAAAAAAGAGTTTGAAGAGTTAATTAAAATTACTAATCATTTGGCATTAAGATAGAGATATTATCCCAGATTATCTAGATGAGCCCAGTATAATCAAATGAGGCCTTCAGAGCAGAAAGGAAGAAAGAAAACAGTCAGATTTGAAACACAAGAAGGATTCAATGAACTGTTGCTAGCTCAAAGATAGTGGGGGCTACAGGGCAAGTGTGAGAAATTAGAATAGTATGTGAAAGAATAGGTAGGCATGGGGCATGTATCTGAAGTCCCAGCTACTTGAGAGATTGAGGCAGGAGGATCACTTGAACCTAAGAGTTCAAAACCATCCTGGGCAACACAGCAAGATCCCATCTCAAAACAAACAAATAAACAAACAAACAAAACACCAGCCTAGAAAAGGACCTCAAGCCCCAGATGAGATGGGAAGCCCCATCTGACACTTTGATTTTAGCCCAGTATAGCTCTGTGCAGAAAATCCAGCCATGCTGTGGATTAATGGGTTGAATAGGTGAGACTGCTAACCTACAGAAGGGTAGAGAATAAACTGGTGTTATTTCAAGCTGCTAATTTTGTGGTAATCTGTTAGCAATAAAAAAAAAAAATGAATGCACTGAACTATGGATCTGGCACAGAGAACCAGTTTGGCCCAGGAATTATCTGGGCAGCATAGCAAGGGGTCAAGGGAGTTGGGAATGGTTGTTGATTAGCCAACTATCTATGTTTACCACACCACCCATGATTTAGCTAATTACACAATTTACAGACTTTCACTTACAAGTTACTACTTCCAGGTACTGATTTCCAAATTAGTGAGGATTCTTTAAGTTGTTAGTACCAGAATTATCTCAAGTTAAAAAAAGCAGGGAGCAGGGGAGGCACTGACTCTTCTAACCAACCTATAGAAAGGGCAGAAATGGAGCCAATTTCAGAGATGACTAACTCCCTCCCTTATTTTTAAAGTAATAATAATAATAAGCAACATTTATCGAGCACTTACTAGGCACCAACCTAGGTGTTTTCTATGTGTCATTGTATTTAATCTTCACGGTAATCCTATGAGGTCATTACTAATATCAATTCCATTCTGTTGATGAAGAAACTGAGTCACAGAGCTTAAACAGCTTTCCTAAAGTGTCTTACTTCCCTCATGGAATGGAGTCCTTGGATGAATAGTGCTCCACCAGAGTCCAAATCCTCCTCTCAGAAACGTTTCTGTGCATCTTTCTGTCACAGGGAAGAGTCTAATGACAAGTCAAGAGAGAGAGAATAAAAATGAGTGTGTAGAAGAAGATGATGATTGTGACGAGAGGAATAAGGCTAAAGACCAAACAGAAGAGCAGAAGGCAGAAGAAAGTGAAAATGAAGAACAGGAGAAAGAGCAAGAGCAAGGGGAGAAAGAAGAAGAAGAGAAAAAGAACAAGGCAGAGAAACACGAGTCCAGCCTAGCCTCGGAAACTCAGTCTTCACCTCGTCTCTGCTTTAATGTGCTCTCAGGTGCTGACCCAGAGTTGGGTCGTCAGCTTTTGGAGGCAGCTGCCAGTGGTAAGAACTGATGCCCACCCACCATTACCCCCTCTTATCCTCCTCTGATTCTGTGACCCCATATACCTCTCACATCTCAGTCTGACTTTAGTTCCCATCCTTCATCCCATTATGTTGAAAAATCTTAAAGGAACCCTATTTGTTGAAGGATAGCTGCTCAGGGTCAGCTCTTGTGGGTACCATGGGTGCTGGCATTGTGGGTGGGTTGTCCTTGCTTCCCCTCACAGGCCTGCCTGTGCTTCTGACCAACATGGAGCTGGGCCTATGGTGCCAAGAACTACAATGGCTGCTTCAGCGGGAGAAGCTGAGTCTACCCAAGGTGCAGCCTGGCTTCTGTCTCTATCTGAGCACTACCCTCCCACTCTGTGCCTTGGAAAAAGGTGAGACCCAGAGGGCACATTGCTAGCACAGTTTTGTGGGCACACTAGGATCCCAGGACCAGTATTTAGAGGGCTTGACTCAACCTGAGCAGACTCAGAATGTAGTAAGGAGCCATACCCCTTGTCTGCCCCCTCCTTGGCTCTGCCAAGGGTGAGGGTTTAAGCACATTCCATGTGACTCCAAGCGCTAGGTTATGAACTGCTAAAGGGGCTGAATGTCCTGGATTTGTCCCTGAACATGGAAATACTAGAAGAACAGATGCTGCATGAAATCTTGTGCAGGGAGCATCCTGAGCTTGAGGCCCGCTGGCAGGACATAAAAATCAGAGCCCTGGATGCCTGTGAAGATGTGGAGGCTGCTGAGGTGCCTGGGGGTCCAGTCTGTGGGATAGGATAAGCACTGAAGGGCCTGGGTGTAGAGGTGGAGATGAATGTAGATATTTGGGGACTGTGGGAAAGGGCCAGATCCACCTAACAAATTACTATATACAGGAGCGGTTGCTGACGATGATGCTGATGCAGAAACAAACCCCTCAGAAACCAGCTAAGTTTCTGCGGGATATGGTGAGGTCCCAGGCAGAGATATGTCAACTGCGTGCTCATTGTGAGGAGCTAGAAGGACAAAAACTGAAGGAGATGGAATTGTGGGTATCCTACCAGCATGTAGTTAGACATGGAATGGCCTTAGTGAATGCCCTAAGCCCACTGCAGAACTTGCTCCCGTTTTTCCGGATGAAACCAAAGGACTGGCTGGTGGTCACAAAGAAAGCTCTAGACAGCATGAAGCCACATGATATAAAGCATGGGGAGGACCTGGCCAGCCATCTACTGCAGATAAAAATACACCTGACCCACCAGCTGCTGGGCAGCACTGTGGCTTCACTAGGCCTGACCCAAGTACCTTTGGTGGGTACCTTGGGTGCTTTGGCTCTGCTGCATGTGACAAGGAAGGCATCAAAGCTAGAAAGCTTGGCACTCTGGCCTGGACTGGCAACCTCTGCCAGCACTGAATACAGTAAGCCAGACCCAGGTGTGGTTCGGCCAGCCTGGCTAGGGCCAAGAGCCTGGCAAGAATGTGGGATGTTGGAGCTGCTGCCTCCATTTGTTGGGCTGCGTGCATCCCTAGCAGGCCACTCCAATATTTGGCAGGAATACCTGTCACTATCATCCACAGTGCTGGGTCCTGCACCTGGGCCAGGTCCTGAGCCACTCAGCCTCATCCAGAAGCTGATCCTGTGGCGTGTGCTGCGACCTGACTGCCTGGCAGGTGCTTTAGCAGACTTCACCACCAGCCTCCTGGGGAGGCCCCTGGATGAAAATCTGGCTGCTCACACCATGCCCCTTGAACAGAGTCAGGCTACTCAGCCCATACTGATCTTATTGCCTTCGACTGGCCACCCCACAGCCATCCTGCATCCTCTGACTGTCATCCAGAAATTGGCTGCTGAGCATGAACAGGTTTGGACCTAGTCTTTTGGTCACAGAGTAACTGGGCCTCTGGGGGCTGGGAGAAGGTGTGGATGCCCTCTTTCAGCATTCTCATGGATCTTTCTATATTACTGAGGTACTTTTTGGATCATTGTGGTATTACTTTGAGTCTCTTGGGTTGCCTTGGGATTGCTTTGAGTCACTCTTCTGTCTCTATTTGTCTCCAGGGGCAGAAACACCTGCAAGTGATAGCCCTGGGCTCTGAAGTTTGGGACCCAGTCTCAATTGTGGTCAACACTCTATGCCAAGCCATGTTGGAGGGGTACTGGCTGGTGCTGGATAACTGTCATCTGGTGCCCCACTGGCCAAGAGAGCTGATCCAACTCTTGCTGCAGCTGATAGGCAGAGCCAAAGGTGAGTTTGTTGCCTAGAAATGGCTTTCAGGACCACACCCTAACTTGGGCTACAACTTGAACTCTCAAGTTCACTGTCAAATTTCCTAGGTCCAGGCCTGTGCTCTTGGCCATGTGTCTGACTCCTGATTCCTCAGTCTCTAATCTGATCCCTAGACTTGTGTCTGATCCAATACCTAATGACTGATCTCAATCCCTTATCTAACTCTAGTAGTTTCAGAGATGGAATTGGAACTGCTTTCAACCCAACCTGAAAGAAGGAATGTGGTTACTGTCCACAAAGATTTCCGTCTTTGGCTTATTGTTTCTGCAGAGGCTACTGCTTCCTTGCCAGGTAAGGAGTATCCCCCAACGGTCTCAAATCAGAAAGGGGAGGGCAATTCTGCTGTGTTGACTCAGCACTCTTCTTCCTCTCCAGCTGTGCTGACTCAACACTGCATGCCTGTTTTCTGGGACCAGTCCCTGGAATTGGGCCGCATCTTGATTGACAGTATGGAGTTAGCACAGCAAGGACTCTACATGCAACCTTTTGACCAGGCACTATCTCTGCTCCTCCTACATGGCCTCCTGCTACACCGACAGCTCTATGGAATGAAGTTGCAGGCACACAGGGGGCTCTGGTGAGGGACTCACTTATGCTGTTGAGTCAGTCACTCAGAAAACACTGAGTATCTTCTACACACTAGGTTGAGTAAAACTAATTCATCTTCCAAAGAGTGAAGGAAAGAGGAATTCTAGGAAGGCTTCTCTGAGGACTTTTAGGATCTCACTTTAAATTGAACCTTAAAAGTTGAGGCAAATCAGAGCCTTTCTGAACAGAGGGAACTAAGTTCAACAGAAGGGTGATTTCAGTATAGTTGAGGTGAACCTGCTGGATATTGAGTAGGGAGAGGCCAGGCTCATCACAAAGGACCTTTAAGACCATAGCAAAGGGATCTGATGTTATCCCAAGAATAGTGAGAAGCCACTGAAGGTATTAAAGTAGAAGAAAGAATGTGATCATGTTTGTCTGTTGGAAAGACCACTGGTTGCAGTGTGGAAAGTGAAACAGAGGAGGTGGTATTAGAAGCAAACAGAATAGTTTTGGGAGGTTCTAATAGTCTCCAGGGAAAAATCATAGTATGGCTTGTAGGGACTAGGGTGGTAGTCACCGTAGAAATAGAGAATAAATTGGGGCTGAGGAAGAAGGAGTCAGGAATGAATTCCAGATTTCTGACTTAGACAGTTGGGCAGCTGGTGATACCTCACACTGGGATATATGATAGAAATGAGAAACACATTTCATGAGGGAATATGATGACTTTGGTTGAAAGCAAGTTGTATTCAACATGCCAAGTGATAATGACTAGTAAACCCTCATGAGCCTGGAGCTCAGAAGATAAGTTTGGGCAGGAAAAAAGACTTGAGGCTCTGCAGCATATTGGTGATATTTGAAATCTGACTTCCTGTTCCCCTCCTTCAGGAGTCCAGTGACTCTGATAAAGGCCCTTAAGACCCAAGAGCAGTTGTGGACCAGTCTCAGCAATCCCAGTACTGCCATGCAAGAGCTCACTGGTGAGACCCTTCCTGTCCTCCATGCAGCCATCTGCCACCAGGAGAGCCTGGAAAAGGGTGGGGGTGGGAGTTTTGAGACTGGGACCTAATTTACAACTTTGGTTTGGGGAAGGGTTGTGGGAACTGGAAGGGCTGGAACTAAGGGTTCCATTTTCAGCTTCAGTTTTCTATGGGGGACCTCTGAGGGACACTAAGGACAGAGAGGTCTTAATTAGCCTCACAGAAGCCTGCCTGAGCTTCAGCAGCAAGAATTGGGTCCAACCACACATACCTCAGTATCTGCTGGCCACTGTGATGCCCAGCTCAGGTAAGCTCTAGTCAATAAATATCTGTTTGGGGGCCAGAAATAGTGCAGTGAAATGCCATCCCCACAGGAATGTGGATGGTGGTGCCAGTAGATACACAAAGGGGCAAAATTCACATAGTTATAGGGATGATAGCATAAGGGATCAAAGGAAGGCCTACTTCCTTGGGAGTGGGGTGTGGAGTCCATCTTATTCCTTACCCCTCACTTCTATCTCCAAGAACTAGAGAAGCTAGATGCTATTGCAGAGTGCAAGGCCCAGATGCACCTACTGCTCATACCGTCGGACCCTCGGATCTGTGGATTAAGTGAGGGCCCCCAGGCATGGTTGGTGCGCCGCAAGAGTCATGCTATCCTGAGGGCCCTGCAGCATAGTTTACCCTGGTGGGTTCCTAACACTCAAGGATGCCCTTGGCGTGCAGAAAGGCGGTTGCTTCAACGCCTAGTGCAAGCCAAACGCAGGCTGGAGTCATTGCAAGCCTTACTGACCGACCACACTGGCCCAGGGAAGTCTCCCCTAAGGGCAGTGCTGGGGCGAAAGGCTCGGCCTCCAGTGGAAGGCTTCCTAGAGAATGAAGTGATGGAACTGAGTCAATTGGTGGGCATTTTACAAAATGACCTTGACTGCCTATTGGAGCAGCTAAAGGGCAAACCCCCTTGCACCTCCTACCGCTGTGCTGCGGTGGCCCAAGCTCTCTGGACTGGCCGCTTACCCCAACCTTGGCGACCCCACGCACCCGCTGGTCAGCAGCCACCCTGGCAATGGCTGCGACAGCAGTCACGTCGTGGACAGCTATTAATTCGCTACCTGGATGCAGGCAGAGATGCAGACACAGACACTAGAGTACCAGGGCGCATCTTTCATCTGTCAGCCTTTAGCCACCCACGCCGCCTGCTGCTAGCACTGCGTTGGGAGGCTGTCCTGCAGCAGCAGGTGCCCAGCTCGAATCTTTCCGGCAGCCAAGGCCCCGGTCATCTCTCACGTAAACGTCAGAAGCTGAACAACAACCCTCTGTGCCTCCGGGTACCTTAGCATCCCTTCAGTTCCCCATTCCGTCCCCTTAAAGTCCCTGATTATACCCCATCCTGTTGGTAATCTTGCCCCTCAGTAACCCTAATCATCTCTCCAATCTCACTTTACTATGACACAGCCCCCCACCCTGTCATCTTTCTAGTCTGCCTAACCAGCTCTTGGCACCCCCAGGTGGAGAATGGCCCAAATCCCAAGGTTCCACAGACAGGCCTACTACTGATTGGGCTACAGCTCCTGCATGCCGAGTGGGACCCAATAGATGGGGCTCTGCAGGACAGTTCTTCCAGCCAGCCCAGCCTTCTGCCTCCTGTCAGCGTCACTGCACAGGCTGGGTACATCAATGACCTGCCAGTCCCAGCTGGCCTGGCTGTGTACTCCTGCCCTGTGTACATGGCCGGGCCCCTTGGTTCCACTAAGCTACACAGCAGGAACATCCTGATGCACCTGCCCTTACCCACGAAACTCAGCCTTGCTACCTGTATCCAACGGAGAGTCCATGTGTGCAGCCCACCCTTGACTTGAGCCCTCCACCAAAATAAAGCTACAGTAATTACATGAATGATTTCCAGGACTTGGAAAGATAGTGATGTATACACAGAAGGTAAAATGTTACACACTGAGAGAAAAATACAGTGTGTACAATTGAAGCTATGGAGGAGGCATTGTGTGGCAATAGGGGAGAGGAGAGTGGTAGGCACACTCTGAAGAGAGAGGCCAGGTGATAGTCATGTATCTGAGGAGTTAGACAAATCTGGCAACTGCTAAAACACAGAACCCTTGTCTGGGTAGCTCTCTGCTGTGGTCTCAGCTAAATTCCCAAGGGATATTTTTGAAGGGAGAATATTAAAACTCAAAATCCTTTTTAATGGCATTTAGTGGTATTATTGGGAATGCCCCAGTCCTACCCTACCATCCACACCACATCACCCACAAAGGATTCTCTGAGTGAATTATACACATGAAAAACAAAAGCCAAATAAAATACAAGACCCTATGTTCATTTAACAATTATTTATTGAGCACTCTTTCATACCAAGTGTTGTTCTGGGTGCAGATGAGGTGGTTCTATTGTAGGGCAACAGGCAATAAAAGGTAGACATATAAACAAGAACAAAAAAATGTTTTTGCAGTACTGGGGGTTGAACCCAGGGACGCTCTACCACTGAGCTACATCCCCAGGCTTGTTTATTTTTATTTTTTTGGTACAAGGAATTGAATCCTGGGGTACTTAACTGTGGAGCCATATCTCCAGCTCTTTTTTATATTTTATTTAGAGATAGGGTCTCACTAAGTTGCTTAAGGCCTTGCTAAGTTGCTGAGGCTAGCTTTGAACTTGTAATCCTCCTGCCTCAGCCTCCCAAACCACTGGGATTAATGGTGTGTGCCACCACACCTGGCTCCCAGCCTTTTTTATTTTGAGTCAAGGTTTCTCTAAATAGCCCCAGCTTGCCTTGAACTTGTTAGCCTCCTGAGTTACTGGAATTACAATTATGTGTCCCCATGCCCAGCATATAAAGAAAACCAAATAGGTTGATGTGCTATAGAATGACTAGAAGGGAATAGTTAATACAGTTTGAGTGGACAGAAAAGGTTCCTGAATATTTGAGCATGAGTTACTTGGAAGATTTAGAAGGAATATTCAGATAACACCCTCAATAGATGCAAAAGACTTGAGGTAGCAACAACTTTGGAGTGTCTAAGGAACTGAACATAAAGCTACAGCATGGTAAGGAGTAAAGTGATCTAAAGTTATGAAAAGGCATAGAAAGGGGTAGATCACATGGTCATGGAAATGAGCTTGTATTTTTTCAAAAGCACAATGAAAATCTATTGGAAAGTAGTATGTAGGAGACGACACCTAATTTGCATTTTTCAAGTCAGTCTGGCTGTTCTACGGTGGACTGATGGTAGAAAAGCCAGAGTATCAAGAGGAAGATCTATTTGGGTCCAGTTGAGATAATTCAGGGAAGGGATGATGAAGCGTGGACTAGGATAAAGCGGAGATGGGAGAATTAACAGATTTAAGACATATTCTGGCCAGGTGTGGGTGGTGGCATATACTTGTAATTCTAGTGACTCTGGAGGCTGAGGTAGGATAATTCTAGTGACTCTGGAGGCTGAGGTAGGAGGATTGCAAGTTGGAGGCCAACCTCAGCAATTTACCAAGACCCTGTCTCAAAAAATAAGGGCTGGGGATGTAGGCCAGCAGTAAAGCATCCCTGGGTTCAATTTCCACTACCAAAACCCAACAAAACTCTGAAGGAAATCTGTAGGACTGATGGATCAGATGCAGATAGTAAAGGGAGAGGAAGAATCTGGGATGACTCCCAGATTTGAGGTAAACAAGCAACTGGGTTGATCATGGTATTATTAGCCAAGATAGAAAATTTGACTGAGCAAGAAGTTGGAGGTAAGGAATCAAGAGTCCAACATCTTTGATCAGTATTAGTTGTGTGATTGCATGCTATCCCAGGGCAAGCCTGTCTGGTAAGCCTTACGTTAGAGTATGGCAGAGCTAAAGGCTTACATGACTTTTTCTCCTTGAACCCAGACACCAAAATTTAATAGGTGCAACTTAGCTTCCTCAATTCATGGCTAGGTTTCAACTCCAGGGTGGGAGGAAATGCAAGCATAAGTACAAACAGAGTATCTCACAGTTGATTGAGGTGCAAGTAATGTCCTTTAATAAACCATGGGCAGAGAGGCAAATGCTCCCACTTTTTTTCAGAAACCCATTTCCTATAACCTGGTTAAGGAGGGTCATGGCCACTCCATTGGGAGAGCAGATTAGCAGAGTTCTAAAAAGACCCTTTGGATAAATGAGCCCTCTATGTTTACCATCACTACTATTTATCCTTCAGTAAAGGCAGGAAACAACAGTGAGACACCTGTAAAGCCATCTGAAATTGGTCAGTATAGAATATTTTATACAAATACACAACATTCTCTAGATGGAAATTCCTTCTTGAATTATACCCAGCTAAGTCAATAAATTTTGCCAGTTAAAGATAAAATGAGTACAGTATGGAAGTGTAGCCCAAATATAATGGGTGTCATGTAAAAATGTTCCAGATTTGACAATTTCACTATTAAATTTTGCTAGATAATTTAAAATCCTATTAGGAAGTTAAAGTCCCAAACAATGAAAGGAATAAGTAAGACACTTGACAAAAGGAAGAAAACGTGTCTCCTCTTATCCTGATGGACAGGGGCATATAGAGTGGAAACAAGGATGAAGGAAAATGTCAAAATCAACCTGATCTGAGATTTCAAAGGGAAAGAAGCAGCAGATAAACTGAGTTAACAACTGAACAGAGGCTTTTGCATTTTCCCGACTGGGACTCTTGAAGGAAACTGTTCTGCAGCATGGGCCCACTATAGCTAGCCCCAAGAGCATTAAGAGGCAGAGTGGCAGGACCACTATATGGTAAGAATACTGAACAGAAAGCCTTTTGCCCTGTAGAAGTAGGAGGCATAGAATCATAGGGTCTATAGTACCAAAGAGAGTTGTTAAGAGAAGTATATGATTTACCTTCCAAGTATTTGGAGATTTTCTATAATTTGATTTCATTATGATCAGAGAACACGCTCTATTTGATTTCAATTCTTTTAAAACCATTAAGATTGGTTTTGTGGGCCATGATATAATCTATCCCGGTAGATATTCCATAGTATTTGGAAAGAATGATGTTGTGTTGCTTCGAGGTTTTTAAAAATGATGATTAGATCTTGTGGGTTGGTGATGGTGTTTAGTTCTTCTATATACTTGCTGGTTTTCTAGTTGTTTTATCAATTGTTGACAGAGGGGTGCTAAAGTCTTCAACTATAATTGTGGGTTTATATACTTCTTTGAGTTTTTTAAGTTTTGTTTCACATTGTACACTCTGTTGTTTGGTATACACAATTTAAGATTACTGTCTTCTTGGTGGATTGACCCTTTTATTGTTATAAAAATGTCCCTCTTTGTCTCTCACAAATTTCTTTCCTCTTAAGTCTATCTGATATTAATAGAGCCACTTTTGCTTTCCTTTGATTGGTTGCATATTTTTCAGTCTCCTATTTTAATTTTTTATTTGTTTTTTAGTTAACATGACAGTAGAATGTATTTTGACATATCAGACATACATGGAGTATAACTATCCATTTTTATGGTTGAACATGATGGGGAGTCATGTATTCATATATGAACATAGGAAAGCTATGCCTGATTCATTTTACTGTTTTTCCTATTTCCATCCCCCCACCCTTCCCTTCATTCCCCTTTGTCTAATCCAGCATCCATTCTTCCCCGCCCCTCCACTTATTGTGAGTTAGCATCCTCATATCAGAGAGAACATTCGGCCTTAGTTTTGGGGAATTGGCTTATTTTACTTAGGATGATAGTGTCTGGTTCCACCCATTTACCAGCAAATGCCATAATTTCATTCTTTTTTATGACTAATATTACATTGTGCCTATGTACCACATTTTCTTTATGCATTCATCTGTTGAAGGGCATCTAGGTTGGTTCCATAGTTTAGCTATTGTGAACTGAGCTGCTATTAACATTGATGTGGCTGCATCATTGTAATATGCTTATTTAAAATTCTTTGGGTATATACTAGGAGTGGGGTAACTGGGTCAAATGGTGGTTCCATTCCAAATTTTCTGAAGAATCTCCATACTGCTTTCCAGACTGGTTGCACTAATTTGCAGTTCTACCAATAATGTATGAGTGTACCTTTTTTTTGTTACATCCTCACCAAAACTTATTGTTACTTGTATTCTTGATAATTGTCATTCTGACTAGAGTGAGATGAAATCTCAATGTAGTTTTAATTTGCACGTCTCCGATTTCTAGAGATGTTGAACATTTTTTCATAGATTTGTTGATGGATCATATTTCTTCTGAGAAGTGTCTGTTTAGTTCCTTTGCCTATTTATTGATTGGTGTTTTAGTCAGCTTTTTTTACTGCTGTGACTACAAGACCCAACCAGAGCAACTGCAGAGGAGGAAAAATTTATTTGAGGGTTCACATTTTCAGAGGTCTCAAGCCACAGACAGCAGGCTCCATTCCTTGGAGCATGAGATGAGGCAGAACATCATGGAGAAAGAGTGTCATGGAAAGAAGCAGCTTACATGATGATCAGCAAGGGGAGGGGGGAGAGAGAGAGAGAAACATCTCCACTAGCCAGATACAAATATATACCCCAAAGCCCTAACTCTTCCAACCACACCCCACCTGGCTTCAGCCAGCGCTCAATTAATCCCATCAGGTGATTAATTCGATGATTGCATTAAGGCTCTTGTAACCCAATCATTTCTTCTCTGAACCTTCTTGCATTGTCTCACACATGAGTTTTTGGGGATACCTCACATTCAAACCGTGACAATTGGTTTATTGTTTTGGGGGTGTTTTTTGAGTTCTTTATATATCCTGGAGATTAATGCTCTGTGTGGGGTGCAGGTGGCAAAGATTTTCTCCAATCTGTATCAGCCTCTTATTTTAAATTTTTATTCAAAGTAAGTTTCTTGTAGATGTCATTGCCCATCAATGCTGTTGCTTAACTGATGTATTTAGATAATTAACATATAATGTAATTATTGAAAAGTCTTTCATTTTATTGTTTTCTGTTTATTCTCTCATTTTTTGTTTCTGTTTGCTTTTTTACTACCTTCCTGTGGATTAATTGAATACTTTTAGAATTCCATTCTGGGATATTCATAGGTTTTTTAAAATTTTTTTTAGTTGTAAATGGACACAATACCTTTATTTTATTTATTTATTTTTATGTGGGGCTGAGGATCAAATCCAGTGTCTCACATACGCAAGGTAAGTGCTCTACCACTGAGCTACAACCCCAGCCCACTATAGATAGTGTTTTTAAGTTTATATCTTTGTATAGCTTTTTAGTGTTTACTCTAAATATTACATTATATACATACACTTTAAAATGATCTACTGGTGTCATTATTTTACCAGTTCAAGTGATGTTTGAAACCTTACCTCCTTTCATTCTTCCCAGTTTAAAATGTAATTGTTTTAAGTATTTCCTCTACATACACTTAGAACCACATCAGATAGTGTTACAATTTTTCTTCAACTATTATATACATAATTCAGAAAACTCAAAAGAAAAGGGAAAATCTTTATGAGCGTCACATAATTGTGGGTGCCTAGGCTCCTCCTCCTGACTCATGATCAGAAACAAGTTGGTCAGGAAGCCTCTCTGCAGCCATGGATGACTTTTTTCTTTCTTTCTTTCTTTTTTTTTTATTATTAGCTGTTCAAAACATTACAGAGCTCTTGACATATCATATTTCATACATTTGATTCAAGCAGATTATGAACTCCCATTTTTACCCCGTATATATATTGCAGATTCACATCGGTTACACATCCACTTTTTTACATACTGCCATACTAGTGTTTGTTGTATTCTGCTGCCCTTCCTATCCTCTACTATCCCCCCTCCCCTCCCATCTTCTCTCTCTACCCCCTCTACTGTCATTCATTTATCTCTCTTGTTTTTTTTTCCCCTTTCCCCTCACTTCCTCTTATATGTAATTTTGTATAACAATGAGGGTCTCCTTCCTTTACCATGCAATTTCCTTTCTCTAGCAGATTATGCCATGGATGACTTTTAAAGATACTGTAAAGACACCCAGAGAATCAGACGGAAGCAATACATCAAATTAAATTACCCTCACTAGCTACAACATAAAATCACTGGAGAAGGTGCATATTGACAATCCAAGGTACAAAGGGAAAGAACCTAAAAGTTTTGTTTTTTTATTTTTTGTGGGGCTAGGAATTGAATCCAGGGCTTTGTGTGTGCAAGGCAAGCACTCTGCCAACTGAGCTATATCCCCAGCCCCCTGAAAGTTTTAAAGAAACATTTGCATGCCTAGCAAGACTAGGAAAACCACTACAAGAAACAAAACAAAACAAAACAAAAAAACTCCTCATGGTAACAGTTCTAAGACATGGGATTGTTTCCAGATGAGAACCCACAGGTGACTCACTCACTTGCTCAGTCCTTCTGAGACTAAGATTACTTTCATCAGCACTGAGCCAGGAGTGGAGGCTGAAGTCACCACTGCAGATGCTGAGGTCAATTATTTTAACAAATGTATTATCAGTTATTTTTTTTAAAAAATAGGAAAAGGAAAGCTAGTTATAGTTATACATATTTTTGCTTACCACACTTTCCCTTCCTTCCTGGCATTCTGAATTGTCATTTCCTTTCTGTTGGAGAGTTTCTTTTAGCCATTCCTTTTTAGTTTAGGTCTTCTGGCAACAAATTTACCTAGTTTTTCTTCATCTGAGAATATTCAAATTTCTTCTTCATTACTGAAGGACATTTTCATTTCACATAAAAGTCAGGGTTGGGAGTTCTTTTCTTTCAAACATAAAACTTGATGCCATTTTTCTATAGCCTTCATGGTTTCTGATAAGGAATGTGCTATCATTCAAATAGTTTTTCCCTTATAGGTAAGATGTAATTTTTAATTTAGCTGCTTTCAGTATTCTTTGTACTTAGTTTTCAGAAGTTTAATGGTCACATATTTTGGTATGGATTTCTAATGTTTTTACTGTTTGATGCTAACTCTGCTTTTTGTATCTACAGTTTTTGTCTCAGCTAACTTGCGGCTTTTCAGTCATTTTTGGAGTGTCTTCTTAACCTCACTCTCTTTCTCATCTCCCTCTGGGAGTTTGACAACATGTTAGAGCTTTTGTTACAGCCCT